GATGGGGGGGTCCATGTCCGAGGGGAGGGGAGATGGGGGGGTCCATGGCTATGGGGGGGTCTATGGCCGGGGGGCGGATGTCGTGGTGGGGACGCGGACAGCGCCGTGGGGCCGGGCAGACTCAGAGATGACGGACGGATTTGCGGCCTACGGGGGGAGGGGCTCACCGTCTCGCGCTCCGATGTAGTATCCCCCCCCCGCCCCGAACATTAGCCAATGGGCAGCGGCCGCCCTGCCCCCAAACGCGTTGAAAGGGGGCGGGCCGCGCCGGTTGCTCAGTGCGCAGGCGCCGCTGGGCGCGCGGTCGTTTCGGGGGCGGGTCAGGAAGAGGCCGAGTTCCCCCCCGGAGCGCGCGGAGCCCGGGGGCGGGGCCAGCCCGGGGCGCTTCGCCGCCCCCCGCTTCCAGGAGCTGCAGCCCCGGTGAGCGAAACCAGCCCCGAGGGCAGCTCCGGCGCGCCCCCGCCAGCCCGCGCGTGCGCGCCCGCGCGTGGGCCCGTCTGCGCCTTCTCGCGCGCGTGGTCGGCGCCCGCGCCCCGGTGGCACGCGCAGGGCGCTCGCCGGTGTGGAAGCGGCTGGTGCAGGCGGGGCGGGGTTAGTCCGGCTCCTGAGGGCTGGTGACCAGACAGCAAGTGTGAAAAATGGGGGGGGGTAATAGGAGCCTATATAAGAAAAAGCCCCCAAATCGGGCCTGTCCCTATGAACTGCTGTTCCGGAGCCTCGTGCGCCGGGCTCGCGGGTTAGCGCGGCGCCGTCGGGACTGGGGCCATCCGGCTCCGCGGTGAGGGACCGGGCTCGTCCCGTCCCCAGGACTAGCCAGTCTGTTTCCGGTCGACTGGCTGGCCCTGCCCGCCGATGGCCCTTGGGCAGCCTGCCTGAGGACAGCTGGGCTGCTGGCCTGGCAGACACTGTGCAAAAGTTAATCCTTGCACCCCCCTTGTGATGGGCGCGGTGCGGCTGTCTGCCCTTTGCAGGTGGAGAAATGGACGCGGGCCGGTTTAGCGACTTAGCGGTCTGCAGAGCGAGGTGTCAGGTCTGGGGTTACCGCTCGAGAGTGAGACGGGTCCAACGTGATCCCGTGGCTGGAAGCGGAAGCTAGACAGACTCAGGCTGGAAATAAGGGTTATGTTTTTAACCGTTGTAACAATTTACCAAGGTTTGTGGTGGAATCTCCATCAATGACAAATTTTAAATCCAGATTGAGAAGATCTGCTCTCGGAGTTATTTTGGGGAGGCTCTGTGGCTCGTGCTATACAGGACCTCAGAGTAGATGACCATAGTAATCCACTTTGGCTTTAAGTATCAGGGGGTAGCCGTGTTAGTCTGTATCTACAAAAACAACAAGGAGTCTGGTGGCACCTTAAAGACTAACAGATTTATTTGGGCATAAGCTTTCGTGGGTAAAAACCTCACTTCTTCGGATGCATTTTGGCTTTGGAATCTATGACTCTGCAACTCCTGGGCCCCTGCTCAGCCTTCTAGACCTTGCTGCCTTCTGAACTGTACAAATCCCCCCCAAATAATCCCACAATAGGCACTGAATTCCCCATTATTGACTTGTCTCAGCAGAGTGGCTAAGGAGTGAATGGGACAGAGACAATCCCCTTTGTCCTTTAGAGGGCAGAAGTAAGGCACGTTAACAGAGGGTGGTGTATGTCTGAAGCGTCTGCTAATGTCCATGATGTGCCTGTTACAGAGAGAACTTTGGAGACTGATTCTTGTTGCTTGGCCAGCCCCATATACCAGTGCTAAGTTCATCTTGAAAGCTTTAGCAATGTAAATATTTGTTATATAACGTGTTCCCTATAAACTGTCCCAAACTTTGCAGAACTCAGTATTAGTGGAGGCAGAGGGCAATCAGAGGTAGCAGCAGGACCTGTTAGAGAGCGTTAACGTGGGGTGAATTCACAAGTGTTACACAGGGTTCTCTTGCTTTTTTCCTTGTAGTTGGGTAGCGCTGTACAATGGAAATCAGCCACTCTGTCAAAGAGCGCACCATTGCTGAGAACAGCCTGGTCATCCTACTCCAAGGTATCCACGGCTATGTCACCACAGTCGATCTCCGCGACGAGAGCACAGCGCTGGGCCGCATCACCAATGTGGACGCCTTCATGAACATTCGTCTGGCTGAGGTGACCTTCACAGACAGGCAGGGCAGAGTCTCCCAGCTGGATGACCTGTTTGTGACGGGCAGGAATGTCCGCTATGTCCATATCCCTGACGAAGTGGATATCAAGGCCACAGTGGAGAAGCAGCTGCAGCTGATCCACAAGGTGCGCTACTTTGGAGGCCGAGACAAAGGGAGAAAGGAATTCCCTACAGCGAGACACAAATAAACTCTCCTGGGCATTACCCGGAATCCCCAGGGGGCTCTAATGTGAAACGATAGCTCTTAGCTCCCTTATAACACCCCCGTCCGTCCCCCCCAACTTCTGTACTGGAAATCTTCCAGTCTCTGTTGTTACCGTTTTAGAGACAAGAACAAACATGTCTCATCCTGAAAGATCCCCTGGGCTTCTCTTTCAAATCCCTCCTCTGTTTGTTTGTTACGGGGATTTGGTTTTGGTTTCTTTGGGCAGCTTCCTGACATTGGTGTTTTGGGATGGGAGCGGAATGCAGACAAGGGATCAATCCATAGGGGTTTATTTTTAATTTTTTAAGGCCTCTGTGAGACCGTCTGGTGTGTTTCTTGCTGGTCTGGCAGGTTTTAGATCCCGTCTCATTCTTAGGTTGTTCAATAAACTTTTTTCAAATAAAACCTGTTTCCAGAAACCAACAAGCTGCTTCTGTGTTATCATTAGGTCTTTCCAGTGCCTTTTGCAAACTCCATTGACCTGCTAGCTTGGGCCATCACTGTATTTTTATTCTTTGATCAATGGCTGGTGGATTATGTCTCTTATCTCATTAATCTTTGCTCACCAGCTCAGACCTGAGAATTCACTACCTTCTCTCCATTAGACAGGCCAGAGGGCCAGCTAGCAGGGACAATTGGATTATAAACTGACCACTGATTGCTCACCTTGTGTTATTCCAAATGCTAGAAGTGGTTTTGCCTTTGCAGTGGAAAAGAGATCAGAAAGGCCTAGGTCAGGGGTCAGCAATGTTCAGCACGCGGCTCCCCCCGGGGAGCGCGGCGGGGCCCGCCCCGTCAGTTTAACG